CCCCCCCCCCCAGCACCCAGCACCGTCCTCCTCACTGTGACCACAAGAACCTCTGAAGTCAGTTCTTAATCTGCCTGCATGGCTCGCTGAGTGGTCCATATAGCCACCGGCAGGCTCATGCACAGGAAATCTTTGATGGACTCCTTATCGCCTTACAACGACATCCAAATTCCTTAGAGAAATGGGGAAAGCTACCCCAGCCACCCTTCCATTATTTCAAAACCCCTACTGCGTTGTCATTTCCGGTTTTTGGTTCCTCCTAGGATCTGAACCTTCTTCTAGTCCCAAGTCTTCCTATAACACCCACCCACTGTCATCCAAACTCAGAAACCAAACTCGCTGCCATCAAGTGGAGGCCGCCTCAGTGCGGCCCTGCAGGACAGGGTGGAGATGCCCCTGTGGGTTTCCGAGACAGACTTAACGTGAGTAGAAAGTCCCCAACCCCAAGCTGGTGGTCCGAACTGCTTGCCTTGCAGATCTCGAAGCCCAACTCGTAAGCATCAAGCCAATGCTGACTCACAGTGACCCTAATGAGGGCTTCCTAGGCCATACATCCTTATGGCGGCAGATAGCTTCTTTCTTCTCCTGGTGCGGCTGGTGGGTTTGAACCACAGACTTGTGGTTAGCCGTCCAGCGCTAACCCGACAGCCCCACCATGGAGAAAGACTCACAGAAACCCCCACCCACAGAAACATCCTGTTCAGTGATTTCCTGCCTTGCAGGCAGCAAGTACACCCCCCTGAAGATACATCTTAGTCAGTACTCTCCCAACCACCTGCAGATGGCCCTGATTCCCAGAATTAGCAAAACCATGCAGCCTTACCCACAAATGTGCCCCCTGACTGGTCCTATAAGCCCCGGTAGTCTGTACAGAGTACCTTTTGACTCATGTCAGAGGCCACTCTCCCGCCATTGACTCTGTCTTTCCTACTACATATATTCTATCGGTATACAGTATGAAAAAAAGCTCCCCCCCACACAAAGAACCCCCACTTCCATCAAGTTGATTCCAACTCATCGTGACCCTATGGGACAAAGTAGAACTGCCACTATGGGTTTCTGTGGCCATCCATCTTTACGGGAGCAGAAACTCTCCCCTTTGTCCCGTAAAGCAGCTGGAGGGGGTGAGGTGGGGGGAGAGGCTAGCGGCCCAACGGGGAACCTACTCATGAGTCCACCAGCACTCATCCCACAAAAAGGCCCCTCATCCTTTTCCACTGGGATCACGCCCACCCAGCCTCTTCCAGAGCATCCCTGTCATCACGGTCCGAGAGCATGAGATGGGGAAAGCACAGGGGACGCTGTCTGCCTGGGTCACCGACATCTGGCACTGGACACAGATCAAAGCCGTTCCGGTCTCTGTGGAATGAGCAAGTCACGTCAGAGGAAACGCCACCTGCTTTTTTCTTTTTGATTCATTCTTGCTTTGAAAGCTTAACTGGGGAAGGGTTGCTTCTCCCTTGACCTGCAGAGCATCAAGCCGAACTTAATCATCAACATCAAAGAAAACCGATGCAGCTGACATTTCAATGCCAGGGACACGTCAGGGATGTCGCCATCGTCGCTATCGCTCAGCACCGACAGGAAGGTGAGGCCCATGCCTGACAGGTCAGGCCAGTTTGTAATTCTACCAAAAGATAACGGAGAGGCTCTAATACGTGACGTTCAAACACACACAGACACACACCAGAGCAGAACTCTTTTGACGTGGATTGAAACAAGCCCTGGGTTAGCACGTCTCCACTATTAACTGGTGGACCAGCTGCCCCAGGCGTCAGCAATAAACATTTACCCTCGAAATTGGGAGGCTGCTGCCTGGCTGGCTTCTGTATGGCCTCCGGCTGAGAACCCTTGAAAGATTATAAACAGCAATAACAACAAACACAAAGAAGAAATGGTGACAGAGACGGCCAGTTTTGCAAAAGCTAATAAATGCACAGGTTTAAATTTTTTAAAACAATCTGATGCCAACTGGATGGGCCCTGATGGCGAAGTGGTTGAACATGCCGCTGATGCTATCTGAAGCGGGTAGGTGGAAGC